TATGTACATAATAATTGTGAGTTGTGGTTTTAATGTAAAGTCTGTTCCAATAACTTGGACCGATTTGAAATGTGAATTAAATCTAAGCGTCTAATGGTTTTTTCTCTTTTTCTTTCAGATTTAACAACTTAAGTCTTTGGCAATTTCAACCATGGAAAGATTAACAATCAAACACCGTGTTAAAATTATCAAAGCCGATTACGAAAATGGACGTTCAAAGAGAAATGCATTTCGCGCACTTTGCGATTTTTAGCCAACATAATCGGCCAAGCGAGAGTGCAATTGGAAATATGTAACATTTTTGTGGAGAGGTTCAATTTCTGCGCCCGATGACGAATAGAGGGGTCTGGATTTTCGGCCACATTCTCATGCACTGTAGCAATGTTTTCATATAAACGAACACGCAATGCTGTTTTCACATCTTCTACCGACCCAGTTTGCTTGAATTTACGAACAATTTTTCCAATTGCAATTTTGAAACTTAAGCACGTTGTTTGATTGTTAATCTTTCCATGGTTGAAATTGCCAAAGATTTAAGTTGTTAAATCTTAAAGAAAAAGATAAAAATTCATTAAATTTAATTCACATTTAAAATCGGCCCAAGTTATTGCAACACCCTTTATATCCACCCGGAATGAGAAATCGGAGATCGGATTTCGAATTCCAGTCGTGTTCACTTTATTTGAGAAAGTTATGAATCCATCTATTCTTCCTCCAAGTATTGGTTGAAAAGCAAGGGAGTCTTGTTTCTATAGTGTTGGTTAGTAACCAGTCTATCGTAGAAAGAAATGGCAGCCTACTGCGGGAATATCTTCTGTCTAATCAGTCATGGATCGAAAGGGACATGATCGCCCAAGCGTGTATCACGTATGTCACGCAACTGAATAATTATGGTGATAATAATCAAAACAAAAACAAAAACAACAACAACAACAACAACAAAAAAAAAACGAGTCGCTAATCACTGTAGAAAATTAGCGCTGATTAAACCCGGGATTTTTAGAGGTTCATCTATCGACCGGTTCGCACTACTCTGCTCTCATTTGTAAAGTAGCAGAGTGTTACCACTTGTTTCCAGTTTAAGATTGGTTTTCCGGTTCCTTCTAAAGTATTTTCATTCCCTTTCAGTTTACTTCCAATGTCTATTTATAAAAACATGTTATCATAATTCTATGAACATTGCATTATTAAGTGGTTAAAATCAGTATTATTTTTCTTTTTTTTTTTCGTACCTCTATAAGTAGTTCATACATTAGTCGTATCTTCTAAGTTAACTAATACAAATATATACAGAATAATCATTTTATATATGATAGATGGGTTAAAAGAACCACGAGAAATGTATTTTGTTTATTTAATGTCAGAAGGGACACAACTCCCCATTAGGAAATACTGTTTAATTATCCAGCAAACTGTAAAAAGTTATATACAGAATGACTACATTATCTGTGGTTGATAGATTTCAAGTTCTATAAAACATTTATTTTGCTCATTTAATGCCAGGGCGGTCGCAAATTCTTTCCAATAAGAAATATAGTTTAATTATGCTGTGAAAATGTGAAAAGTATTTATGAATAGTGCTTCTTACTTTTCAAATTAATTGAATTAGTTAAATACATATAAATATATATCTTGTAAAATGGAACTGAATTATGACCATTTCTCCCATATACTCTTCTTCATTTTAAATAATTTTTATTATGTTTATTTTAAATAAAATAAAGTGTGTTCCAGTAACTTGGACCGATTTGAAATGTGAATTAAGTTTAAGCGTTTAATGATTTTTCTTTTTCCTTCATATTTGGTTGTCATTTGGGCAATATTATTTTTCACACATAATTGCCATGACTTAAATAACATGATTTAACAGTGAAGTAAATAAATTTTCCCCAAATAACACTGACTTATTTACTGCTGATTTTGATCCGTCTGAATGAAACACCCTTATATATAATCCTTATTAAGGAAACACCCTTTATAATCGGCATACGTTATTTGTCCGTTGTGTTTGAAAGCATAGGCGAATTAAAGAAAATCTTACTCGTTCCATTTCAATAAAAATGCACAGTCATAGACATATGTTCACAAACACAAAAAATTTCCAATGTATCAGACAATGGTTCACTAAAATCTCAGATTAGTGAAGAACAACATGCAAGCTATTACATTCCTTCAAATGTTCCACAAAGGCTTCCAGAGAATACAAAATTATACCAGCTAACAGAATAAAAAAAAGCATCGAAAAAACATCACACATCGCAAACACATAAATGTACTCCCAAATAAAATGTTAAAACGTCAATCTAGCTACCAAAAATGTGTTTTCTCCGAATAGCAGCTACGCTATTTGGAATGGATTATACAAGTGACCGGTGTAGTTGTAAAGGGATATCAACTACAGCAATTCTGCTGGGTCTGACTGGAAGGGATTTAATGATGTATTCTATAGGAGAATGAAGTAACTGGAAGATAGCCGAATATTACTGGAACCAGTATTGTGTCCCCTGTGAACAATGGCGGCTGGACTTTGCTTGCTCCAACGAAACATTACCAGCGGGAAATATGGCGGACATAAAGAGATGCAAATGATCTGTATCAAGACCTATGAAGCTCACAAGAGAGAATAAAGTTTCACATTTATGCAAACTCAAGAGGACACAGTCCACACCATAACAGGGTCAATACCAGTCTTTACAACACCTTGATGGGCGTAGAAGATCTATAGCCTAATGAAAGCCCGAATTGCGATGTTCTAAATAATGGTACTCTGTCTTTGGCATCATCCAAACTGCATGTAATGCTGTACTTTGACTGATGTTTGGTACCATCTTTGAATTAGGTTGACTTCATATATTATTCCACTTTATTCAGCTGTCTCTTTCTTCAAATTCAAAATATGTAATACCATTAAACAAATTACGTCAAATTTCATCGCATGTAAATTCCTATTCTAGAAATGTATAGTGACGTACGAAGGCACTTGAAAATAAACGTACGGACTATTCTTAAACTCTTTTTTTATGTGCCATGTCCCTTCAGGATGTAGGCGATCATAACCCTCCACTTCCACCTATCCTTTGTAATAAACTTCGCCCCTTTGTCTCTTCCATCAGACCATGTTCTGTCATCCACTTGCTTAAGTCGGACAGTTACGACATGCCTTGCTTTCCTTTGCATCTTTTTCCCTCTATTCGACTTGTGAGTATCAGATTCTCTAAGCCCTCCTTTCTCAATACGTGTCCCAGAAATTTCAACTACCTCTTCCTGATATTAAGTATAAGCTTTCTCCTTGTTTGCATCCTCTCCAAAACCTCATCGTTGCTCACACACTCGGTCCATGATATCCTTAGAATCCTTCTGTAGAACTATACCTCCGTTACCACGAGTCTCTTCTTCTTCTTTGAGGAAATCGTCCAGCATTCTCTGCTGTCATGTAGCAGTTCAGTATTCTTTTCTTTGTTACCAAAGAAATGCTCCTGTCCCGTAATAGCAATACGTCTTCGGATCTCAGCGTTGTACGTCTCCACCAAAGAGATCTGTTTTATCCACGTGTGCCTGTATGATAAAATTTAAAATTGTACAGTACATAACTTTAGCGTTTTGCACTTCACAGGTAAAAAAAATAATTTTCAGATGAGCATCCCAATTTTGTCTTAGAAAAATTATGAACACAAAAATTGTTTGTCTTAGAAAAAACAAGACCCTAATTATTACATTATGCTAATATCGAATGTACTCGGAATAAAATGAATATGCATCAATATGGTAATGTTCTTTCTGTCTATAATAAGAAAATGGCCAGTAATTATGAGAGGATAAGTGGACAAATCTTGCCTATGTCTTAATGAAAATATGCCAATATATATATATATATATATATATATATATATATATATATATATATATATATATAAAAACACACACGCACACACACACACACATATATATATATATATATATATAACATATATATATATTGCTTTTAATTTAATTGCAAAATTAAATTCGGGGTTTTAGCTTCTATTTTGAAACATGGTTGGAACTGTGTAGCGAAAAAAACCATATTTTAAATCAATTAATTTATAATATTAATGCTCTGTAAATTTACATTGAGCACTATTTTGTAAAAAATAAAATATCTATAAGAACACCGGATTTTATATCTTACTGTTCTTTCTTTTATTTTATATATATATATATATATATATATATATATATATATATATATATATATATATATATATATAACATTGAAGTCATCTCTCAGAGGCTCGGAGTGTTTACTTCAATGTTCACTTACATATTTATATTTACATACGCTCTATCTCTGATATTGAGCACTTTATCCCATAAATATAGCACACCTTAAAACTATATTTCTTCATATATATACACACATACACATACACACGCATGTATGTGTGTGTGTGCGCGTGCACCCACGCGCGTAATATTAGATGTTAGTTACTCTCTTTAAAACAGTGTCAATCAATCTCCCTGTTTTTTTTTCAGTTTTAAATCACTCTTGTTAAAAATCAAATAATTCCCAGTCGTGACATTTACGTCTTTAAAAATAGAACTGATTTTTTTTTTAAATAAAATTTCCTCCTCGCGATAACAAATCGAGGTTGTGAACTACAATTTCAGGAAGTGTTCATAATAATGTTTCTATTTTAACGTCACAAGACTTTAAATTTCCACTTTATTTCTATTGGAGCACACTTCTTGAATTATTTCAGTTAGAAATTTTCGCCTTTTTTCTTTCTTTCTTCTGTCTTCTTCATTTCTTTCTCTTTTTAATTTCTTACATTTTTTCTTTTTTCTCCCTCTCACTTTCCTTTAATCATTGCTTTCTTTCTTTCTTTTGACACATCTTTCCCACTTCCTCTTACTTGCCTGCGGCTTTGTTTTTTTTTTTTTGTCTCATATATTTCTGGCGTGTCTTCTTTGTTCAATATTTCTCTATGTCACTGAATGTCTTCATTATATTTGAATCTTAAATGAAATTCTTCGCTACCATTTCATCTTTCTTTTCCTTTTTTCCTTCTTTTTCCTTTATTCTTCATTATCATTCCAACTTAGTTATTTTCATTCCTTTCTATTCTTTCTGCCACATTTATTTATCCTTTCTTTTCAAGTTTTCTGCATGATTCTAGATATTATTAATTTTAGTTTTTCATTCGTTCTTAATCTTTCTAATATTGTATATTTTTTTTTTGTTTTTAATGATTATTTTTTTCGATTTCTTTTTGTATCTTTTATTTCCATCGTGAAAAATTCTCTTAAAATCTTCTAACTTTTTAAAAGATATATTTGCCACCTTTCGTTTTTCATTCTTTCTATATTTCATTGTTACTTGCTTTCGTTTTACTCTAGGTTTTAACTTTTTGGTATCGATGTTTTGTTGTTAGTTCATCACTCATGTAATTTCTATTTCCCTTAAATTCTTTTGTTTACATCATACTTAATTCCTACAATTAATTTTAATCATTTTCGATTTTTTTTTAAAATAGTGTTCCCTTTATTGTTAATTTATTTTTTATCGATACTTTATGATAATCTTCTTTTATCACAAAGATTTTTCATTTTATTTATTTTCTTTATTTTGGAGACATTTTGAATTACACCTTTCTTTTTTTATTTCATTCTTTTCCTTCGAGTTTTATTATATTATTTTTCTTTTTCTTTATCATTGGTCTGATTCCTTGCATTCTCTTCCTTTCTTTCTTTCTTTCTTTCTTTCTTTCTTTCTTTTTCTTCAATTTCCACATGTGTTTTTTATTGGTCTGATTCCTTTTTTCCCTTCTGTTTTTTGTTTTTTCGCTCTTTCTATTTTTCTTTCTTTCTTTTTCTTCCGTTTCCTCATGTTTTCTTGTTCTTTTTTATTAGTCTGATTACTTTCTTTCTATTTTCTTTTTTTTTTCTTCAGTTTGCTTTTACTTATTCATGTTTTATTTTATTCTTTATTCTTCTGATTCCATTTCTTTCTTCGTTTTTTCGTTTATTTTTCTTTCTTTTCTTCAGTTTCCTTTTATTTTTCGGGTTTTATTTACATTCTTTATGGGTCTGATTGATTTTCTTCCTTTCCTTCTTTCTCTATCTCTCTATTTATTCTCCCTTTCTTTCTTTTTTTTCTTCTGTTTCATTTTATTTTTCATATTTTTCTTCTTTTTCTGATTCCCTTTATTTTTTCTTGTTTAAATTTTTATGTTATTTGTTTGTTTTCTTGCCTTTCTTTCTTTCTTTTCCTTCTTGCTTTCTTGTTTTAATTTTTATTTACTATTTGTCTGATTTTTTTCATTTTTTTCTTTTCAGTTTTCTTTTATCTTGTTTTTTTTCATTAAATTTTCTTTAACAAGATTCATTGCTTTTTTCTTACTTTTTTCATTTTGTTCATTTATTTTAGTTTTTAAATGCCTTCCTCCTATTTTTTCACTTCAACCTGCCAGCCTATTTCCATTTCCCCTTATTTCATTTATTATATCATATAAATAGCGTGGGAGTGTGTATGCGAAACCAGCCAAGTATGTTAATCGTGCTTCTCTGTAGACCCCAAATATTTTCGTTCCCATCTTTTACGTTTTACTTTTTTGTCATTTATTCTATTTTTGTGACCAAAATTTTAATAAACTTAATCGATTATAAAAACAGTGCAATCAATTTCCTCATTAAACTTTTCAATGTCTCTCCTAAGTTACGGCCAAATCAATGCCATTTAAAAAAAAAATGATTACGCTACGCGATGCTGGTAAACAACAACAAGAAGAAAAAAATATTTCTAAAAATAAGAGAAAAAGAGAAATGAGCGGCGGGACCCTGAAAGTGGCACCGGCGTGTGACGGGAATAGAACGGAGGTGATTGCTGAATGTCACATCAATGTCATTATATTCATTGTAACGTGAGCTGATTAAATTCAACGACAGCATTGCCATGCATGCTACAAAATCACTTCAAATCACACAAGAAAAGTTTTACACGCTTGAGTAATTATTATTCATTTCTTTCACTTTCACTTGCAAAGACTGTCCGTATCTATCTATCTATCTATCTATGTAATATATATATATATATATATATATATATATATATATATATATATATATATATATATAATATATATATATATATATGAGTAATGTACATATATATATATATTTATCTAAGTAATATATATATATATATATATATTATCTAATATATATATATATATATATATATGAGTAATGTACATATATATATATTTATCTAAGTAATATATATATATATATTTATCTATAATATATATATATATATTTATATGTATATATATATATATATATATATATATATATATATATATATATATATATATATATATATATATATTATAAATTAATTGATTTAAAATATGGTTTTTTTTCGCTACACAGTTCCAACCATGTTTCAAAAATAGAAGCTAAAACCCTGAATTTAATTTTGCAATTAAATTAAAAGCATTAGTTCCATTTCATCTTCAAGCGAATATTAATGCTCTGTAAATTTACATTGAGCACTATTTTGTAAAAATAAAATATCTATAAGAACACCGGATTTTTATATCTTTCTGTTCTTTTTTTTATTTATATATATATATATATATATATATATATATATATAATAAATAGTGGAACTCGCTTGGAAAAAAAACTTAGGTACTTCGGCTTGTAATTGAACAAACCAATGTCCAAGGAAAAATGAGGAATAAATAAAGAAAGAGCTAACAACATGAAATTGAGATGAAAAAAATCGTCCAGAATTCAAGCTTAGAGTCCAAAGAAAAAACCTCCAAATCGAGTAAAAGTAACTACGTAAAGTGCTCAATACACGAAGTAGAGCAAACCTAATATAAAACTAAAGAGCCAGGTAAACCTACGTAGGTTTAACCTAAACGGATCGTCAGGGTAAAACTGACCAGTTTTACCCTGACGATCCGTTTAGTTTATATATATATATATATATATATATATATATATATATATATATATATATATATATATATATATATATATATATATATAAAATAAAAGGCTTAAACACTAATATCTCGGTATCCAGGAGGATAGAGAATAAAAAATTAGTGATTAAGTGTTTAAGCCTTTTTATTATATCCTTACTCTGTCCTGGACATTGAGTTCTACCTGGATTCTATCCTCTCGGTTTTTTTCTAAAAAAAATATACATGTATGTGTATGCATCTATGTATATATATGTATATATTTTGCATATGTATGTGTATATTTACCACTAATATATAATCTATCTATCTATCTATCTATCTATCTATATATATATATATATATATATATATATATATATATATATATATATATGGTAAAATAACAAGGAAGAAAAAAGTAAATGTATATCGATTTAATATGTTTCACTTTAAAACTTCGTCAGCGATCGAGATAGAAATGAAAAAGCAATGAGACAAAGTACTGGTATGTTAAGAACTTTGTTTTGTTTACATATGTATCACATGTATAAACGCAATATATAAATATGTGTGAGGAATATTTTTGGCCTTAAAATGTGTGATAGTGTAAGAGTGTGTATGTAAAGAAGCCCTTGTGTATCTAGGTATATGTTGGACGTTAACGTTAATTCATGTAAATGTATAAATGTGTGTGTGTTTGTGCGAGGAATGTCGTTTATTGTCGTTTCAATGATGAAACATGTTAGATTGAGATAAGTTTCCTAATTTTTCTTCATTTTATTTTATCGTCTTCTCAGATTCCTATCGATATCTGATCTACATTTGATCTTCAACTCATATATATATATATATATATATATATATATATATATATATATATATATATATATATGGGGGTGTGTGTATGTGTTCGTGTGTGTGTGTGTGTGTGTGTGTAAATATTTCAGATAGAGTACATTTGTGAAAGGACTATAAGAAAACAGACAAAAGGATTTTATTTCGTGACAAGTATAAATATACCAGAGCAAAAATGGTATTGATTCCTCAAAATGTGCATTATACTTATAAGGCATGAACCTTCCTAACTTTTCCGCTAAACTGATGAATATTCATGAACACCCCTATAAAATGCAAAACATAAGAAGGGTCAAAGAGATAGAAATCGTAGTGATCAAGGTAGCATCCTATCGGGATTCTGTTCCACAAAGCAACAGTTCTCAGGACGAAGCTGAATGAAACTTCATTCAGAACAATGGAATACGAAGGGAAACGTGGCAGTTGCTACGGATATAGCCATAGATTAGCAACATTTATTATACAAGTAATGGGCTGTACGCAAGAAAATAATAAACGCCTTTAAACTTTGTCAAGTTTGGAAAATGAGAATAGGGTAGATACAACATAAATACTGCAGCCATTCTTCGTTTTTGGTCTAATCTGACTTTTGTACAGACTGAATATATAAGAAGGTGTAACGTACTATCTGGAGCAGTAAATGGTATCAACCATTTTTAAGCATCTCCAGCGGTGAATAGGATAAAAGAGTTCCACTTAAGGTCTCACGTGAACTTGTCCTTGTAGAAAATTTAAGGGAACCCCTCAGCAGAAAAAAACGCTCATCATGAATGGAGAAAATTAAGGTTCTGTACGGTGATGGTGGAACTCTACTTGATTGGGGTGGATGTTACAAGCCAGTTTACCTCCATTGACCGAAACGACATGTAAGAGCAGATATCAGCTTCTTATTACGAAGATATTTGGAGGGGCAGCGATAAACCGTGGCATTATCTACATAGACATTAACTAATGATTCGAGAATGTCTTAGGCATGTTCTTAATGTCAAGCAGAATGAGGAGAGAATCGTGAGATACTGCTGCATTGATCGGATGGGCTGCTGAAAACTGGCTAATGACGACGAAGTTCATGGATCTATCCGAAAGGAAAGATTTAATAATTACGATGTTTCTTCCAGATATGCTACGAAACAAAAAAATTACTTCTCCTTTCTGATTAGTGGCTAGGCGATTTGCAATGGAGTTCCCCA